GGGTTTTCCTACCCACATCCAACCCGGCTTTCTCCTTGATTCCACTCCCCAACCCAAACAGCCTCCCGGCTCTAAAGGCAGCGGGTGTTCTGGTCCAGTCTCAAGAGCCCTTCTCTTTCCTGTTCTTTGCTGTGGGTGAAGGAATTGTGGTCCACATGCTACCTCAGCTTGCCCCTGTTCTATATCTTAGAAATAGGAAACTCATTTTTCAGGATTGCCTGGCACATATTTTATTCATCATCTCTCCATCTTTGAAGGGTCTGCCTCCTTTTGATAGCCCCATTTCTTCTGTAGTTACCCTGCTCCCCCTGGCTCCCCTCCCCAATACGTCCTCATCACAGGGACTCTCGTCTCAGCCACAGGTTGTGTCTGGAGGAATTAAAAAAAAAAAAAAAAATCTTTGAAGATGGTAGCTTGCTGCAGCCTAAAGCATTTCCTCTCTCTAGCGAATGTGCCAAGGAACTCATTTAACACCAGGAAACCCTCTAAGAACTAGCGCAATATTCTGCTGATAAAATTTCAGGGAGCTGGGGAAGGAGAAGTGGAGCAGGGCTTGTATTGATCACCCTTAAGCTTCACTAACAGGCGCTACTGAGTCTGCATACGTCTAATACTGAGCTTCCCCGAGGAGTGGAGCACATCCTCTCCACCTTCATCGTGAGTAGTTCTGGGGTTGAGGAGGGCAGACATCCAGCCAGAGGTGTCTGCACGCCTCCCCCGGGGTCAAGGGCTTCCTCAATACTGCTCATCTCCCGGGCATTTCACCCTCACAGAGGCCCCTGCACTGGAGGCAGAGTGGAGAGTCAACTCGACCTTGACAGTTTCTAGGTCACTGCAGTTCCACAATGAGGTGAGGGAAGATATAAATCAATAAAGACTTAGATTTCATATTCTTGCAATTCCCAATCCCAAAACGGATGCTGAGCAGCATACAGTAGTGGGAAAGGCTATGCAGTCGGAAGACTGCGGCTCTGAGCAACTTGCTAATGAATTAGAGTCTCTGGGAAATCTCTCAATGTCTCTAAATCTTCATTCCAAACTCTCAAATGGGATAATGAATAGAACTCCCCTTTAGCACACAAGAACGCAATGAAGGCCAGATGAGATATTAGATGTAAAAATGTTTTGAAAAGCATTAAACGCTATACAAAGCGATGAATTTTAATCTCATCCCTTGCAAAACTTATGATGAAATAAATGACATTGAAAAGCACTTGAAGTATTTTTCAATTCCCTATTGTGTCAGAGACTAATAGTTTTTATCAGTATTAATTTTCACATTGTTTCTTTCATAATGGAACCCCTGCACTTATCGAGGTACCTGGCAATGAAGAGTAAAGACATTTTCTCTGCAGTTGGATGTGGCTAATGTCTAAGTCCTAGCCCATAAGATGTGACTGGAAGTGATATGAGCAACTGCTCTTCACTTCCCCTCTAGCATCATAAATGAAAATAAGATAGCAGGAGCTGCAGCAGCCATCTTGGACCATGGGGTGGGTGCCACACATGAAAATGTAAAAGCAGTAAGAGAGGACCTGGGTTTCTGAGAAGGTCACACACCAGAGCTATCAAACCCATTTGTCTTAAGTGAGAGGAAAATAGCATCAATCTTATTTATTATTTGAATGTCTGGGTTAAAATGGTCAAATGGGATTCCTGCCTACTATGCTTAATCTTAATGTTTTGATGCTCTAGTCTCAGCTCCTTAGTAAGTCTATCTGGTAGACTTTCTTCCCAAATTAGCACTATCTCTACTCAGACTTTTTTTAATTTCTTTTTTTTTTAGTTGTCAATGAACCTTTATTTTATTTATTTATATGCTGTGCTGAGAATCGAACCCAGGGCCTCATACACGTTAGGCAAGTGCTCCACCACTGAGCCATGACCCCAGCCCGTCCACTCAGACTTTAAATACTTCAAACCTTTGGTCAAACTATGGTGAAGTTACTCTGTTAGATGAAAATGAGCACATCCATGATTTCCTTAACTGTTGTCTAACATTGTTTGTTAAGATCACTGATTATTTCTCCAGTTACCAAGAACAGGCTGCCAAAAAGCCAGGAGGAGACAAAATAAGTGTGTATCTTGGTTCTTAATAAAATGTCTCCCCCTTTCCCCACAGGGAATCTCATATCAACGTGGTCACTAAGGCTTCCATTGCCAAGAGAAGGGAAAGGGTGTCCACCTGGGGACTACAGGGGTTGACAGGACGTGGAGCTCCCCGTGTGTGTGTGTGTGTGTGTGTGTGTGAGTGTGTGTGTTTGTGTGTGTGTTTGTGTGTGTGTGTTCTGGAGCTTTGGACACTAATGCCCTGGAGCTGATTTGGGCTGGGACCTTGAGGTCACTGACTGCCCATGGATCCTTGGGCCCAGGTGCCTTCCACGGGCATCCTGTCCCTGAGAGCCACTCCGCATGTAGGTGTGCAGCCAATTTCCAGAGAACACACTACTTCTCTAACTCTCCATTTCCATCAACACAGGACCCCGGGAACGTGACAAGTATGCTGCTTTACAATGAAATGATATGAGGAGGAGGGCCACGTCCGTCTTCTTAATTTGCTCAGTGCTGGCCTCGGGCCAACACACAGAGATGGCTTCTCCTCTGAACATCCTGCTATCTGGTCTCAAGCGGAGCCCCATACATCAAGCCTTCAGCAGAAAGGCAGTGGAAAGCCTTTTGATAGAAATCCCAGGTGCCTAGGGAACAGTGTGAAGTGAGCAGGGGCTGCCTCCGCGTCTCAGCGCGGCACAGGTTCCCTGCCAAAAAGTAAAGTGGGTTTAGAAGAAACAATCCAAATGCTTTCCAGCTTGTTTTGATTTTCCACGTAACAAAACACTGGATTGTCGGTGTGTGTGTGTGTGTGTGTGTGTCCGTGTGTCACAGTGCAGAGCGAACGGTAGGGAGAAGGAAAGCTTGCAGCCTTTCTATTCTGGGCGAGACACGAGACTGTAACACCCAAATGTGAAGATGGAGACACAGCCCCTCATTAGTCCCTGCAGCAATGTCCCTTCCCTCCCTACTTTAGGAACACATGATTGGAAAGGGGAGACACAAATATTTGGTTGGCATTTCTCTACCAACTGACAAGTGCTATCTTCTTGGCCCCTTTTAACTCACTCTTATATATGGCTCACAAAGTGCAGCTGCCCAAGAAGTCATTGATCTCAGCTTGTTGCTGAATCAGTGATGTGGAAGGGACTTACCCAAAAGCAGCACGGCTCTGGGTCACTGCTAGCTTGGCGCTATCACAGTTGTGCCACCTATGTGGGTCAGGGACAAATATTTCAGGGCAATAACATCTGGCTTCTTGCATGATTGACAGGAGGCTTTAGGAGACCTGAGCCTTATCCCATATGAAGAGCAGGATGGAATAAGTAAAGTGTTTGCACTTTGAGGTCAGCTATGTCTACCTTACAATCCATGGGGAAGCCACCTATGGTCTCTAGGCTTCACTTTTCTCATCTGGGAAACTGGAACCAAGACTATCTACCTTGTTAATGCAGAGTATCCTTAAAGTATAGAAAGGGTCTCCCTTGGTTCATAGCACAAGGGAGCCTGTCCTCAGCTAAGTCAAGGGCAGTGAGAGAAGCATGGGAGCCACTTCTCCAGATCTGTATTGGATGGGGACGTGGGGCTGTCCTCTGTGCAGCAGCTCTCCATGAATGCTGGTGGGTTGATGGACTCTCCACCCCAGAGAGCATTCTGCGGGGTGGCCCATGGAAAGCAGGCTTAAACATCAAACACGTTGGATGTTGATGAAACAGGCTTCTTCATCTGACTTAGGAGGTTTACTCGTCTTTCGACTCCTTGGAAGGACTGATCACATCAATGTGTGTGAAACTTTCTACCCGCTCTGAGCCTCCAGTTGGAGGAGAGACACACTTTTCTCTTCCTTCCTTCCTACTTCCCCCATTGGTCAGTGCACTTTTGGTTACTGTACTTGTGACTGGGAAAAGGTGAAAATAAGCTCTTGGAATACAGTGGGTTTTGGTTAAGTTTATACCCTCCGACCTGATTTGCTGGGTGTAGCGCAATCTAAGAACAGGTGCACACAACATGGGAAGGAACTTTAGGCTACAAAGATTGGGAATGTTGGAATGTAGTGTCTGTATCTACGTCTGGAATGACCATCTGGTGAATGATGTTCGTGTCTCCTGGCCCAAATCAGAGTTATTATTCATGTAGTGACCTCAAATATATTTTGTATACATACCAGCTAAGCTCCTATTCTTTAGGCCAAGTTCTTTTTAAATCTCTTTTCTTCTAGAACAGTAGAATTTCAAACCTGGTAGTACCTTGGCAAAGAAGAGGATTGTCCCCAAAGAGATTAAACTCTGAAATATTCTTTTAAAAACTAAGATTCTGTAGCTGGTTTGGAAATGTTAAACATGTTATTTCTCCTGATTTTTTTTTCTCCCTTAATTGATCATTCATTCCTCACATTGAAGATTACAATTGGTACAGTGTGATGTCCTCAGTAAATAAGCAGTTCCCCTAAAACCCCACCAATGTTCATTTCTCAGCCACAGCCACCCCTGTCCTGTGTCCACTCCCTGTCTCCTAAGGATGAGGAGGAAGCATGGCATAGAGCCGGGATGCCAGGGTTGGTGGGATGCGAGTCTCTAGAGATGGTCAGTGATTTGGTTGAAAAACAACTGCAGCAACAAAACACGTTACTTAGGATGGAAGCTGCATTCAAACAGAGTTCAAAGACGAGAACCGGCAGTCAGGTGAGGGTCGGCGTGCAACCTCATCTAAGGGCAGAAGCCTCCTTCCCTTTCTCTCTCTTTAAAAGACTAATATTTCCATGACAGAGACAGTATGAAACAGACCAGGTTCAGCAGAACATCCAAGCCATAACTTGGCTTTTCATGTGCATCTCTGAGGGTTCCAGCTCCCCAAAGGATCACCTACAAGGCTGCACAGATCACACAGACCCTTTCCTTCCGCTGCTGTTTCTCCTTGACCTTCAAATGTTTTCTATGTAGGATGCATCCCTACCCTACTTCAAGTCACTGGTTGAAAATGTCAAGAAAAAAAAAATGAACAAGGCAGATAACCTCCAGCTGGATAAAAATGAAGACCAAGAGGAAGCAGATGTCCCAATACAGCCACCCGGAGCCAGCGGTCCTCTGGATGGCCCAACGTCTCCAACAGATGGTCAGTGCACCTGCTCACGCCCCCCTCCCGAAAGAGGAGTGGGCAGGGGGTCACCATCTCACCACCTGGCTGTTGTAGTCCTCAGTGACAGTCCCCTCTGCGGCTCCGTCCTCTTTTGGCCACCGGTGGGCCCGGTGCTCGCGCTGCAGCCTCCGCTCCTCCCGCCGCTTTTGGCGGTCCCGCTGGTGCTCTAGCTGCTTGGTGTGGTGGTAGCGCTGCTGGAAGAGGTCTCTCGCGTACTCGTAGAGCTGCATGTCCAAGAAGTTGAGCTCCTCGATGCGCTGCCGGGCGCCCTCGTTGATCTCCACGTTGGAAGCCCGCGTGATGTTGAACTGCGTGAAGGGGGAGATGAACTTGAGGTTGAATGTCCTCTCAAAGAGAAACTGAGTCTTCCGCTGGAACTCGGTGAGCCCGAAGAAGGCCATGTTCTTCAGGTTGCTCTTGGCGCTCTGCAACAGGATGGCGTTCCTCTCGCTCTCGTTCATGGAAGTCAAGTTGTAGCAGCCCACCAGGCTGAGGTCGGCCAGCATGCGCACCTGGCGGTTGTTGGCCAGGTTGTAGCTGCAGTCCATAAACTCCCGCAGGCTGACCCCAGACCAGTCGTCCCCAGGGTAGCAGGTGGGCAGCTCGTCGGGGGTGGGGCTCCTTCCATCACACATATGGAGAGAGGTTTTCCACGTGGCCCCCCTCTGGACGTGTTTCCATTCGCTCAGGTAACGCGACACGGGATCCCGCAACATTGTGATGTAATAGAAATTCCTGGAAGAAATCAGAGGAAGAGTGTCAGTAGCTGAGGACTCTTAACACTGAAACTGTGAACCTCTGTGGTTTTACAGCCACAGGAGTCCAGGAGCTCTTCTGCCAAATGCTCAAAAGAGATTGTTGGCCTGGATTTGCACCCATCAGGAGGGTGGGTGCACATTTCCATAAAGACACGCACTGCAGACCCGCTTTCAATACTAAGTGTAATGCGCTTTCTCCCCCCAGTAGAATGTGGAGAGGAGGGGGGTGCTTCCGCTCATTCGCTGATGCAGTACTAATGCCAGCGATGTCTTATACTTAGAGAAACACCATGATTTTAAAATGTATTTCTGTTTTCTACTTTATTTGATCCTTTTGTCAACCTTTTGGAGTAGCTGGGGGTACTGCTTGAGAGGGAAACATGCAAGGACGTGAACTGACTTGTCCAAGGCCATGGAAATAGAAAGCCAAGTCTCCTTCCTGTGTTCTGTGTACACAGCTATTCTGGATTAGGAGCAAGGTGGGGCTGGGGAGGGCATGGGCGACTCGCCCCAGCCCTGTCCCTAGGAGTGTTTGAGCAGAGCCTAGAGGTCTATCTGTCACAGAAGATGTAGAAAGGACCACATGGAGGAGCAGCCTGAACACCAGGCCTCCAAGCTCTCTTCATGCTCTTAAACCCCATTTTGGCCTTTGTGCTTCCACAGAAGCCAGTCTGATCCCGGTTCCTCCACTCTAGTCCATGGCCCATTGAGTTGGGTCCACTGCAGAAATATGGGGTCAATCGTGTTAACCCAGAGATCCCCCAGAGGACAAGGGTGGTCCCGGAATGCCCTATGAAGAGCACCAGGCCTGTCCTGACCCTGTGCTAAGTGCTGCAGAGAATCTAGGAACCAAGGCTGGTGCTGGATCTGACAAGGCTGGTGCTGGTCCCTGGCAAGTGGTCACAGGGGGTGCACAATGTCCTGAGCAGAAAGCATTACTGTGCAGCCGCGGCCTCAGCCTGGTGCCAGAGGGCCAGACCAAGCCAGGCCATTGGTGCTTGACTCATCCTAGCAAGTGTTCTTTGTAGAAACTTGACAGGAAACACACACACACACATTTTGACAGAGAATCTGCCAAAGAATGACTTTGGATTGACCTTGAATCCTGTACTATTTTGTCAAATATCTCTGTTATCAACCAGTTATGGGTATTATTTGCCCAAATCATTCCTATGTGCACTCATGGATAAAGGGTGGGTCTGACTACAGTTAAATCAAAGGCTATCTTACAGGTGCATGAGAAACTGAAGGAACAGTGGGAGGGCTAGGAAGTCACTCTGCCCCTCTGTTCTCACAGCTCATCTCCACACTGAATGCAGTTGGACCCAGGGGTCAGGACTGCTCTGCACCCTCTCCAGAAATCACCCCTGTCGGGGAAGAGTTATCATCGTGGCTTTCAGTGGGATGGTGAAGGGGGAGGAGGAAAAGGAAAACCAGGCCACATTTTCAGGGCACATGTAGCTCATTGGAGAACCTAAAACCAGTGGAAAAGGACAATTTCTTAATTCCAAAGAAGAGAACCTAGAGGTGCTTAATAAGCACATGAAGAAAGAACACGGTGTTGAAGATTACATTTAATTTAAAGGAGATCTTTTGCTCAAGTTGTCTAACAGATCACTCCTGGACCCCTTACAAAAACTGCTTTGAAACAGGTGGGGGCAAACATTTTCTAATCGCAATGATGAACTTTTTTTTTAGATTAAACTCACTGACATGCTTCAATGCCAAATGCTTTCCCCATAGATGAGCACCCAAGATCCATGCTGGGGGCAAACTTGCTGAATGCCAGGTACCGTTCCAAGACCACGGCAATGCTCTGGGGTGGGGCTTTGTTTTCACTTAGTATTGAATAAACTCAGAACTTGAAGAGATGAAATAAGCTTCCCAAGATGACACTGCTAGTAAGTTACAGAATCTGGACTTAATTAGGTCTGGTTCCCTTCAAAACAACTTTTTTTGTTTTTGTTTTTTTTGGTGTTGGGGGGGAATCACAACATCATGAAAAGGAAAACCTCTCATTTTATAGGAAATCTTCACCCTGGTGCTTATTCTATTAAACAGGATGGGGAAAAAAAATCCCAGCAAAAGTAATGAAAAAATAAGTTTAAGGGCAAAAATCTTTAAAATTCTGTTTTTTAAAGGAATTAATAAACTACATTATTGGAAGTTATGCATTTTTCTATATTCTGTTGTTGTGAATGGATAGCCTCATTCCAATAGGAAAGCCAGATAGTTCTGAAATGTGCTAAAGAAACCTCAATATCTTAAGTCACACTAGCGGCCCACTAACTGAGGAGGAGGAAGGCATTGAACCTGCCAAGTACTGTCCAGCCTTTGCCCTCGCTGTGGCCAATCACCATCCCACAGCACTCTGTTCTCTTTCTGGGTGAAGGAATGATGACTCCATCAGTGGAAGAAAATGTCCTAGCAGGTCAGTAGGGAGAGCAGGGAAAGCCTGACCCAGCCTCTGGGTTCCATGAGGGAATGGTGACGGTGAAGTTTGGCTCGGAGTGGATATGACAACTTCTGAACACTAGATGACATTCACCACAGACCCCGTTGTAGTCCTGTGTTGGGACACCTCCTATTTCAGTTCTACCATCAGAAACTGGTTTTCATTTCACACAACAATTTGCATAATAAATATAGAAGTATAGTCATGATGAGACCATAAGTCAGTTAAGGGTGCCAAACACCTCAGGGCAGAAGAACTTAAATTGGAAAGATTGCTGAATCAGGTCAAATTAGACTACAAATGAAAAATTTCCAGCTTTACTGTTAAAACACAAAACACCCCAAACGATGTAAACAGCACCAGTAAAAAATCCAGGGACAATCAAGGAATATGTCTCCATCTTATTTATGGTATCAAATTTAATATGATCCAGGTTTTTAAAGAACCATTAGAGTTGGAAGCTTTTGGAGATGTGAGTTACAAAGGGTGGTGGCGTGAAGATTTAACTGAATTCTGCTGGGATATGACGCAGCTCTGGTCTCACTGGGAAAGCTGGCCCTAGAGCTTCCAGAAGCTTTGTTGCATTAGAGATCCCACTGAAAGCCACAATAACTCTTCCCCGACAGAGGTGATTTCTGGAGAGTGTGCAGAGCAGTCTTCTCCAGCATGGAAGCTGTCCTGACCCCTGGGTCCAACTACATTCAGTGTGGAGATGAGCTGTGAGAACAGAGGGGACAGAGTGACTTCCTAGCCCTCCCGCTGTTCCTTCAGTTTCTCATGCACCTGTAAGATAGCCTTTGATTTAACTGTAGTCAGATGCACCCTTTATCGATGAGTGCACATAGGAATGATTTGGACAAATAATACCCTTAACTGGTTGATAACAGAGATATTTGACAAAATAGCGCATGATCTTAGAGCTGAATGAAGTTGATTTAGGACTGAAATGGTCTTGGATTCAAGTTAAACTTTATCCATTTAATATTGCCTTCAATCATGCTTAATGAAATCACAGGGTGATGTTTATTAATAAAATAAATCCCCAATGTCTCTGAGCTTTACCGGCCCAAGAAATCAACTTGGAAGTAAAGCTAAATCTGTCACGGAGACATAGAAGTGTACTAGGGGAACATCTATACTGATAAGTATGGAGTTGTCCCATCTCAGGGCCCTGTATCGAGTGGCTAGGAGCGTTTGAGAATTGTTTAGTTAAACAGTTTTTTACTTGTATTTTGTTTTTCCATCCTGCAAAGTCATAAGGATGCAAAATGAGAAAAGTATAAAAATAAACCAAAAGGTTTGAAAGACATGGAAATAATGAAAAAGACAATTGAAAATTTGACTGAATTTACTCATCTCACTTTTTTCCTCTATTTTGATTTGCTTCTTTGCCTTCAGATAGAAAACAAAAACAATCAATGACATGACGGGCATCCTCTGACCTTCACTGGTGACAAGAAATGCTTCCCTTCCATGAATCCCCTCCTGCTGGAACTGGGATCTGATATGGCCCCACAGACCCATATGTATAGGCTTGGCCTCAGCTGGAGCTACTGGAAGGTGGTAGGAGCTTCAAGAAATGAGGCCCAAGGGCAGGAAGACAGGTTACTGGGGACATGCTCTTTGAAGCTCTCCAGCTTGTACTTCCTGGCCACCACCAGGTAAGCAGCTTTGCTCCCCCGCACATTCCCCACCAGGCTGTGCCACCTTACCATGAGGGAGCCCAGAAGGAATTGGGCTAAGTGATCATGGACTTCAATCTCTGAAACTATGAGCCTAAATAAACCTTCTTCCTTACAAATTGATTATCTCAGGTATTTTGTCACAGGGACAGAAGTCCGCCGATTCACAAAACATCCCACTCCAGAACAACAGAAATTCTTTCTTCTGCTCCCACAATTGCCAATTCAGTTTCTTTTGGAAGTATTTAAAGGATTCTATACCATTGAATTCTGAAACTTGTGATTTAGGCCTCACTTGTTCAACAGTACAATGGAAGGGAAAAATCAGTTTTAAAATGATAAAACAAAGAACAGAGAGGAAGGAAAGCAATACCCAAGGGTATTGGTGGCCAAAACTAACTAACTAAATAAATAAATAAAATAACCTTCATTGACTCCTTTGTTTTTAACTCAATCTCCCAATCCGACATAGGGTATCACTTACTCATACATTTATCATTTTAGTTAGTCTAAACTCTGCCCAGCTATTATAAACATAAATAAGTAAAGTATCATTACTCCATTCGTTTGTAACTCTGCAAATATTTGAGTCCCCTCTATTTACAAACACTGGGGCTAGACATGGGAGACATGGAAATTAATAAGACTTTGTCCCCAAAAAGATCTTGGGCATACAATGATTTTGATAAGTGAGAGATATGCTAACTACCAAGTTATTGGGAAGTTCTGACAATCTCCTTGGACCAGAACAATCCCTGAGACATAACTTTGTTTGCCTTAGTGACAGTATTGTGTCCACAGAGCTTCCCTTTGCCATCTACTTCATTGAAAGCATGGGTG